ATAAATAACTCCTTGTTGTTTAAAAAGAAGCAGTTAGAGGAAATTCTTTCTCTCGTTCTATTCTAGTTTTCTCCCTTTTGGGTAGTGTCAAAGTGATTTGGTAATTTGCAGCATGAAAGCACCCGTAAAACTGAGGAGAAAACAGGGTGGTGAGCGCATGGAGAGAAGAGCAGGGTCTGGCTGGGCTGGCATGTCTGGTGGTTAAACCTGCTGCTGACACATGAGGTTGGGTTCCCACTACATCACTGCAGGACAGGATTTCCAGCACTGCTGAGGTCAAGACTGTAGCAGGAATGCTCCCCTGCAGCCCAGTTCTGTCAAGCACCAGGTCTCCCTTGCTCAGAGCGTGCCTGGTCATCACTCCTGCAGGCTGCTCTGCTGGGAAGTAATGGGAGAAACATTCATCCCAGCACCTTGCAAGATGTCCATGATATGTGATTTACAACTGGGCTGCTGAACCACCCTCTCGCAATAGATGTTTCCACTGAAATTTGGTGTTGATGTTAATGGAGTCCTGGGAAACAGATCATTCATGGTGACCTGTGGGAACCAAAGTTCAGGAATCTCTTTTGCTGACTGCATGAAGAATAGAAAGCTGTTGCTGGCACCAACTCAAGTCTGGCACCTACTTCAGTCTACTCAAGTGTCTACACTCAGCATGTGTGCCTTCGCCCCAGGCCAGGGGGAAGGCAGGTCTATTTTATGCAATATAAAACTCGCTTCTGAAATCACTGTAGTGCACAATGCCTTGAAATTGGCTGCTGTTATCCCAGGTAAGAGAGTGCTGCTGAATATGGATGATTTGTTTAAACTACCCAATGTCTGTTTATTGCATTGGCCAAGACCCCTGTAAGGAATACAGATGTTTAGCAGCTGGTCTGAGTTCTACTGGTCCTTTCAGGTAAGTCAGAGCTTCTCCTTCCTGGGGTCACATGAACCAAGTTCCTGGCTGCAGTAAAAAAATTTCTTCATTAAAAGTGCTGGTATCTCTTCTATTTTAATAGGTTTATTAAACCTGATTTACAGTATTTAATAGCACTGATTCCTCAGTCTGGCTGCAGACTGTGGGTCATCATCTGTGTTTGGTTTAGTAAATACTTGATATTACCTGGTGTCTGAAAAGGCAGAAACTGTGGAACTCTGCAGTGGCACTTCTGAAATTGCTTTTCTGAACAGAGCAGTGCTCTACCTGCTCTATGTTAAACATGGGATAGAAAAAAAAAAAAAAAAGATTATTTGAACACAAAGATGTTATGCATGTTATGCTAACCTAGCATCTCTTTCATCCAGTCTCAGAAGTAGCTCTGTACCGGGTGGTAGTGGTTTGCTGGGCACGGTAATGGAGAAGACTGAGAAAAAACAAATTGAAGAGACAATGAGAAGAGGAACAGCATGCACAAACTGGAGGAAAGCTAACAGGTATAGAATTATATTTTCCTTTGCGAGTGTTTCCTCTTTGGCTGGGTGGAGATACAGTTGCTTGTGTTTGGAGACCAGCTTTTTCAGTTCAAATGTTCAAGAGGTACATAAGTTTTTGTACATATGTATTAATTCATGTGTTTGTCTTCATCTCCAACAGTTTCAATGTTAAAAGGCTTTGAGATACAGATAGACTGGTAGGCAATGAACTTTTCCAATTCCTGAGACTGGTTTGCAATTTATTCTGGTGTGTCTGGCTGCAGATGCTAATCTTCTTCATAGCAAATTAAATAAATGTCTTCCTGCCTCCTGTCCTTTCCCTCACAACTTTCCATTTTTGTAGATTATTATTTGGCATCATTGTACCTTCCTGTTTGTTTTTAAATTTTGTGTCTGTCCAGAAGAGGTTGAAGTGGTTTGCTTTGCTGTTTCCCCAAGGGGTATGAGACAATGCTGCAATTTTAAATCCAGCCTTGTTCTTAGGGAGCCTGAATCTGGCAGAAGGAATATCTCACCCTTCTTTTAAGGTTGCAATCCAGCCTCAAGTCATGGCAGTATGAAAAGGAGCATATTTTGGCTTGTTGTACCTCGGCATCTTCACGTGGCATTTGCCTCTGGGTCAGTGCAGGGCGGGGGCTGTGCTGCGGTAGGTGAGCCTGTCTGCCCAGGGCAGGTTATTCTCATCCAGGTTTGTGGACTGTGAAGTCCCCAGGAGCCTGAGAATCTGCTTTACTGCTGCTCTTGCTTCTTGGGTGAAGGAAAGCTTGTGGTTTCCCAAGCAAAAACTGTAGCTAGAAACAGATTCTGGAAAAAAAAAAAAAGCAAGCTAAAGCTGGTAAAATACTTGAATCCTGTGCCAGTACCTTTGGTGCAGGTGTTCCCAGGGAATCCTGTCCAAGCCCTCACCTGGGAATGTAGGAACAGCAGAAGAGGGAGAGGTGTCTCTGGCTCCTCACTTCTCATCACCTTTTGCCTTTTGTTTTCTTGAACTGTCATTCCCAGAGACAAAGCGTGGCTGGCTCTGCCTCTGGCCTGGGCTGTCACTAAGGAAACTGGAGCAGAGACGATCTCTGAGGAGAGTTGAGATGGCTTTGCTTTGCAGGGGTCTGATGAGAGGCTGTTCATTACCCAGTGTAAAGTGCTTTTTCAAGCCTCAGATGAGGATGCTTTAAGAGCTGCTTGTGCTCTGACCAAATGATGGCTGGGGGGATCCTTCTTTGCATTGTCTGTGACTTGGCACTTTTTTCTCCCTGCTCCCCTTTGGGGATGGAGGGGCAACCGGATACTAGAAAACACCGCAAAATGGAACATTAGGTTTGGCTTAATTAAGAAAGGCTACATTGATGGAATTATTAATTGCAAATTCTCTTGAGAATAATTTCGCAGGAGATTTAGTTACTGCTGGCCCTGGCCTGATCTGAATGGATGGCATTGTTTTAAATGACAGTGCTGAGGTTGTGTGTGTCTTGATGTTAATCAGATCCTGGATTCCATAATTTCACAAATTAAATTCCTTGTTTTCTTCAATGAGTGTGTAAAAGACAATAGACATTGCTTCTTACACCTCTGATTATGTAGCCTGATCACACACAGCATTAGCTCTGGTCATGGCACATCCAGGGACCAGGGAGCAAAGCGATGTGCTACTGGGGTGGCTCTGCAACCGTGGCAGTGAACTCGGAAATTCTCATTTGCCTCATGACCCAGCTGAACGTCTAGACTGGTGTGTGTCTGGTCCCACTGCAGGGTCTTGTAGTCATCTCCTTAGGTCCCCCCTGCCTCTGTGTGCCTGTGGAGTGACATACAGAGCCACCCGTGGGTGCAGGTGCTGTGCAGTGTGTGGCTGTTTGCACCTTGTGGAGCCCTGCCACCAGCCAGGGTGTGTTTGTGCCCATCCATCACCCTGATGACGCACCCAGATGTTTCCAGGCTTGGCACTCACTAGGGATGAGCCAGCCTCCACTGTGCAGGTAAGCACTGTGGTTTGGTTGCTTCTTGATCCTGGATGTGATGTCTCAAAATAGAAGCCTGTGGGTTCCCCCCAAAAATACAAGGCATAGGAGAAAAGGAACCTGTTTCTTGAAGGAGCTGACTGTATGAAGTGTCCAGAGTGCCTTTTAGATCACACTAAAATGTCTTTCAGACTGGCAGACTAAGGGATGTTGATTCAGCTGCCTATAGGCTGAAAAGTTTTCTGAGAGCTTGGCTGTGTTGAGCATGCCAGAATCTTCTGCCCTCCAATTCTTTGTTACTAGCTGAGTAATTTAAAGTAAAAAGTCACCTCCTAGAGACTGGGTCCATAGAGATATTAAAGAGGTAAAGGAGCTTGCTGCTGGTTGCTTCTGTTAATGTTTTATTTTCCCTGAATATCTGGATTTTTATTTGGACAATTTAGATGCAAACTAAATTTCTTCCTATGGGAAACACAAGTTAATATGAAGAAATACCCTTGTCAACTTAGACACATCAGACACCTGAGAGATCACAGCAAGAGGTCAGTGTTGAGCCACACTAGCACCTACTTGGAGGATGCTCTGCATCCTGGTCCCTGGCAGACGGCTCTGCGGCCATGGGGGAATGAGGGACACAGACCCAAGACTTGGGGGACATCTTTATTGTGGTTGTTGGCTAAGACCCACTGTAACCCCATTTACATGTTCTCCTGCAAGGTTTCTTCTCCCTTTGTGGATTAAGGTTTAAACCAGGTCATAGTAACTCGTTGGCTTGGAGCTGTGAAAGAGGGATCATCGCTGGTTTTGCCTGCAAATGTCACTTATTTGCCGTGGAGGTCATGTCTTACATGGGCACCACTGGTGGTACAGACAAACCTTGCCAGGAAGTGGGTGTTGGCCTCTTCTCCCGAGTGAATAATGACAGGACCAGAAGAAAAGATATGAGGTTGTGGCAGGGGAGGTTTAGATTAGACATTAGAAAGAATTACTTTACTGAAAGAGTGGTCAGGCACTGGAACAGCTTGCCCAGGGAGGTGGTGGAGTCACCATCACTGGTGGTATTTAAGAAACATGGAGATGTGCACTTCAGGGCATGCTGTAGTGGCTGAGATTGTAGGGATTTTTTTGTGTGCGTATGGTTGGACCTGGTGATCTCAGAGGTCCTTTCCAACCATGACGATTCTGTGATTCTGTGAAATTTTCAGGAAAACCAAGATTGCATCAAAGTTGCTTGATGAAGAGTTAGAGCAGTGAGGGTGAAGGGCTGGTACCCTTTCAGCAGAGCCACCTTTGAGAGCTGGGACAGTTCCCCCTGTCCTTGTGCCCACTCCTCCCTGCCCTGAGGAGGCTGGGAAGCATTGCTTACTGGTGGTGGTGGGGCAGCAGTCCCCTTTCCTATGCTTGTGTGCGGACTGTGTTGAAAGGCTTTTAAAACTCAGTTCTTAAAGAAAATGCCTTTGTACACAGTGGCTGGATAAAGATGTCAGGCTTTCGCCTCTAATGGTCTTAGATAAATTACAGGCTCTTACTTCAGCAGTATTTTATCCATGGCTTTGCGCCTACCCATGCAGAGAACCATGAAATACCTTCCCCACTTATTTCAGAAAAGAATGAGACAGAAAAGCAACCGGTAATATATCTGACTGTATTTCAAAGTTGTTGATTGTAAACAAACTTTGTTGAAGAAATAAAATCACATGACAAGATATCAGAGTGATACTATAAATCCATTTTGTTATTGTTGCCACACTTCACATTTTTGGAACTCAGAATTTAGCTCATGGTGTACAAAACTCGTAAAAATTTATTGCAAGCGTGCCTTTGTGTAGAACAAAACTGGTGTCACAAAAGTAGTTCCCTGTCCCATGCAGAAACACAGTTGTGTGTCTCTTACCATGAAGAGGTCACACACCTGCATTTCCTGAAAGACTTGGCTGTTACAAAATTGCTCTGAGTGTTTGAAAAAAAAAAAGGGGGGGTGTATGCTTTGCCTCCGAATTTTAAATTTTCAATGGAAACCTTTAGAATTATAAAGAATATAGAACTTTTCAACAGAACTGGAGTCGCTGATGTTGTGAGCACAGCCCGATGGAGTTAGTGGGAAAGCACTTGGCCAGGCACGGCCGGCCTTTGCGTTTGGTACTGTCACTGCATTTGATGGAATGTAAGTGGCACATACCGAAAGGAAATGAAAACAAAACATAGAGGGGAAGATTCCTTTTCCAGAATCCCCATTTGTCCTGTTTCTACTGTGGCACTTCCTCAGACTGTCGCTTCCATGCTGTGCTGACATGCAGCAGTGCTTTGACTCCAAGGCTGACGACTACTGAACATCTATAGCATAAGGACAGGCACGGAGTGAGGCCAGGGATGTAGCTAAAGCAGGGTTGGTGTCACTAAAGCAGGTGTGTTAAACATCGGCCTTTTCTTTGTAATTCGAAGGCAGCAGGGGAGGGGGGTACACATGCTGGAAAGATGGGAGTTAGAAGGGATCACCTGGTGCCTCTCCCTCTGTGTGCCCAACCTCTGAACTTTCCTCTGCCTCCTCAAACCCACTGCTCCCCTTGAACTCCTCCTCCTAGCAGACTGTGCTGATCAGCCTCACCTGTATGGATCAGATTAATCTCTGGTATAAATCTGAGTTTTGCTGTCTCTCATCTCATGGGGGGCAAGTTATTTTTAATTTCTGTACTGAAATGCCAGGCAAAGATTTGGCTTACAAGTAGAAGAAAAATCCAGGTTGCAAAAGTAAGTCAGAGAGACCTGCAATTTGTTTTCCATCAAATGAGTAACTCCTTTCACAGAGAGGTGTGAATTGTTCAGCAGTCACGTTTTGCATACACCTTTTGACACAGATTAATTGGAGAACAAGACCACAAAGTTACTTTGACACCAAGTGGGTTGGGGTTCTGGACAGATGAACCTAGTGTACTGGGCTTTGCTTTTCAGTTTCCAGGTTTGTTTTTTTTTCTTTGTAACTAGTGAAAATAGGACAAAATGCTCTGTTTGAAGTCCAGAGCACAGCATAAATACTTGAAGAGTGAAAGCATTTGCCAGCTGCTTTATTTTAGAAACAGAGTTGCCAGGGCTGGGAGGAAACTTCATGGGCCTGGAATCTTCCCGTCCCTATTAAAACTTCTGAGATTAGCTTGACTATGAAAATCTCTTTATTCAAGGATCCTGCATCCCAAATTGCACTCGTCCCTTCCCTCTTTGTTTATCCAATCGGGTCCTGCACATCGTGGCCCCAGAGGACAGCATTACAGTCCTTTCCCACTAGGTTCTTCATCCAGGTCCCCCAGGCATTCAAGGGTTGTTGCAGTTACATCAAATGAGCACTTCTGCAGAGTGATGTTTTCACGGATAAGATTTTTTTGCACTACACATCGTGTGGATCACCTTGACATCTAATATAAGCAATTATTTACTTCAGAACAGTGATACAAAAGGGATTTACCACTTAAGGCCTTTTCGTGATACCTAACAGCTGTTCACCAGACCCATCAGTGTGGAAGGGTTTAAAACAAACCAAAACACCAAAAAACTGCCCAGACCACGTCAAAGGCCCCTCTTTGACAGCGATCCAGAGCTGAGGAATGTTGCAGCCATTCCAATGGGAGCGGTGGGTGTGGTGATGCTGATACCTGTTTTGGGTCCATACAAACCCAACTGGCAGCACTAATGGGGCAAAGCAGGCAACACCTTCACAGTGATTGCAATTAGAGTATAGGCTTCAGAAATAATACCCTGTTCCATCTGAGATTTGCAAAATAGCAGAAAAGATCAGCAAAGTAATACTATAAAAGTAAACTGAAAAGCCAACTCTCTGTTGTCGCATCTGCCAGACTGACGAAGAACCTGCAGGATGATTTGGATGTGCTCTAAATCCATGGAATGAAGCAAGCATAGGGCAGGAAACTCCTCCAGGGCTAGATTTCTGAAGACACAGAGCTGCCTCTCAAAAGAAGAGGAAGAGACCTTTTTTTACAAAGCACAGATATTCTCCGCTGTGCCTCAACAATGAGATGACGATACAGAGGCTTTTCCAGTTCATAATGCTTCTGGAAACAAAGGTAGGATCGGGAAGAACTGTTACAAGAAGGACTGTACATCAAGTAGCACTGGTGATAGGCTTGCGTTAGAGCAGATGATGACATGATCTGTCTGTGCACAATATCCTAGTTAATCACAGGCCCGATATAAATGTGTTTTGAGCCTAGAGTTCCTTGCCTTTGTGAAGCATTGCTAGCAGTCCTTTGAAACTTGAATGTTCTCAACCAAATTGAGATGAGCTCTTGTTTTACAAACAGCTAATCTTACATCAGTCCTAGCAACAAGAAAGTGCCATGGCAAACTCCACAATAGAGATGGATGGAAGACTTCATATTCCATCTAAGCCTCAGTGACTTTTCTCAAGTCAATTTAGTAATGATTTGTCTGAATTTCGCATTGATTACTGGACTATAGCAGAGCTTCACGTTCTCCGTTTATCTCCTCTAAGCCTCTCTAGGCAGGCTGGGCTGCTATGTTTTATCCAGTCTTCTCTTACCTTCAGTGCAACTTGGTTTCAACTCATTCCAGCCTATATGGAGTAAGGACCCTGTGCTGATGAAGTCCCACAGCCCTTAGTTCATGGTGGAACTATGTTCACCATGCTTTCATTTCTTGTTTGGAAAAGTGCATTTGAACAAGAACTAAGTCACTGAAAATGCAGAATATGGACTTAATCAGCAAGAGTGAAAACTCTACTTCACAGTTTCATCACCCCCTTATCTGTGCTGTGCCTTGGTGTCTGATTAGGAAAGGGGACACTCCTATTTGGGGAGTTAATGATGTCTCATGAGTAGTGCTGAGGTCGTTAAAGCACTTTGCAATCCTTGCATGGAAAATAGCACAGATGCACAAAATTATTATAATCCCCCACTCATGCCTAAAATCAGCTCTAGGACTGGGGGACTAAGACATGTAAGACTGAGATAGTTTCACTACTCACCAGTCTAGAGAGACTACTAAATAAATGTCAGAAGGAAAAAACCTCTTCAGCCAAAAAAAAAAAACCAAAACCAAAAAAGCCACAGAAGTATAGCTGGAGGTAAAGAATGGGAATCCTGCTTTGAGTTGCTGTCCTTAATGTCAGTCTGGAAACAGCTGAATTAATTTTTCTCTTGGAATTGTCTGAAGGAAACAAAGTTGTACCTATTAGAGACACTGAGACTTCTATAAATTGGGATTCTTGAACTACTTTGTAACTGCTGAAAGGTTGGGGCTAGAGAACAGAAATCGAAAACAGAGAAGAGATTCCTTTAAATTGTGCCCTAGTGTCAAGTGCACAGATGGGCTGAAGTAAAAAGTGGCAGAGTTTCTGCAAGCCCTTGAAGCATTTTTCAACTGAGACAACAGCAGTGGAAAAAGGTTTTCCAAGAATGGATGGTGGCACGATAGACATTTCTTGAAAGAAGTACTGTGCATAGAATGGTCTCAGTTCTTTGAAACAAAGTTTGCATACCATAAATAAGTAATTTTCATTTTTCAGAAGTACGTGAACAGAAGTTCAGTTCAGCAGGAGAGAAATGAGCTTTGCTGCCTTGTCTATCAGCTGCAAACTTTTTTTCCCCCCGGAAAAAATTAGAGAAGTTCCTCTGTAACCTGGTTGGCATTTCCACTGCTTTTTAGCTACTGCTGAGCTTAAGATCTCTTACCCAGATTGTCTCAAGGCTACAAAAAACCCCCAAGGAATCCCAACTTCCTGTCATTTCACAAGCCATTGCACAATTAACACACACATACACACACACTATAGCTAGCCTCCTTGCACTACTTTGAGACTAACCCCCACCCTCATTTTTCTCCCTTTAACTGGGGAGAAACTTTAATATTAGTTACAAGCAGGTGGGGAACCAAATCTAAGCCAGTCTTTGCAGTAAAAGGTAATGCTACAGAAGCTGAGCTGCAGTTAACAAACTTTTGCCTTTTAAAAATGATTCCGTTTCTTCCTTAATTACTTTGCCTTGTTTGTTGTAACATAGAGAAAGTGCAAGATGCTTTTTTAAGAAGGAGAAATCTTAACTTTCCCCAACCCTATCCACTCCTAGTCAATAAATGGAGAAGATGATGTGGAATAGTCATCTGTGGATATAGGCTATGCTTTGGTGGGTTTTGCTTGTTGGCTTTAAGAGCCAGAATGCAGGCATTTTGTACATATAAATATATATAAATATTTTTGCTTACTTATGGAATGTTTGTGCATATGTAGGGCACCAGTTCAAAATGATGAGGGATGGTTAAGGCTAAGAAAATGAAATTCATTGCAAAGCTATAATTTTGTCTTAATTTTTCTCCTTTACAAAGGAGACTAAAGCATCTTCCCTGTAATAGTCAGCCACTGTGTAATCCCCTGTCAACACCAATTCTAGGGAAAACTACTCAGGACCCAGTCCCTGAGGCAAAAAGCTAGGACCTCATGATTTTAGCTCAAGTATTTCACAAAATTAACAGCCTACATTAGTGGAAAATTAAACATTCCAAGGCCTTGGACCTACTGTCACCTGAAAAAGAAAAGGCATTTTCTGTATGGGATGGCCTAGATCCACACGTTTAAGCATACAGCGCAATGTAACAATTGGCCAAGGGCTTCAGATCTATCTCAGGGGTCTACAACATAGCTGGAGAGTGCTGTGCTTACTCCTCAGAAGTCCTGTGAACCTCCCCACCTCTGCTGGGGGCATGTTCACTTTGCAAATGCTCCAGCATTGCAGGGGAACACAAGGAAGCTGGGCTCCCAGCAGCTACTGTTCATCCAAGCTGTCCCAGTAGCAAAGTTCCAGCCAGACCTTCCTTTACTGCCCCAGTTTTGGCTACTATATAAATTTACAGGGCATAATGAACTTGTAGCTACTCTTCCTGTTGCAATATTGGCTGGCATTGCCTAAAGCAGGGCACCAAGCAATAAGAACACCATTTGCCTTTAGGTACCTTGGCGGAATTCCCTCAAAAAAGGAAATCGTGGACTTATATTGCTGAACATTTCTTTTTCGTGCCTCACACTAGCTCTTTTCCCTCTTTGAATACTTCCAAGACCAACAAGAACCAGTCACCACACAAACTCAGTCTGAAGAGGGGTGGTCTCAGTTCTCTGCAGGACCAAGAAGTTTTGAACTCATCCTTGGGCTTCCATGCAGCTTGGCATTGCCAAGAACCAGAGTGGTACAAACCCTCTCCTTCCTTTTGAGGCCAGGAGATCTCAGTGCACAAGGTTTTGTCCTTTCTCCTGCGTTTCTTGGGTGGAGACCTTGTGGACTGAGCAGTGAAAAGGCATGCTTAGGAAACCCGCTGCAGTACATCGTGCAGCTGGCAAGCAGAGCAGGATGTGTGGGACAGTGCCAGGCTGTATTGTAAGCAGAACCACCATGGAGCTGGCCATCCCCTTACTCTCCCTGCAACCAGCTGAGATCTGCTTCTAAGTCTACTCCAAAAAAAATAAGACTTTGGTGGAAATAGATGTCAGTGCAAGGATACTCTTTGGGCTAGTCAGTAATTTACTAACCCCTGCTGGACTCTTCCTCTATTATGATTTCCATGCTATGCATTTGCACATCACATAATGATGAAATCTGATGAGTTCTCAAATTCATGTTGATTACCCTCTGTTGTCTCTTGCCAGATAGATGCATATAACCTGGTGAGGTTTACACCGATAAATAAATCACTCCATCAATCACTCCATTCCTCTTCAATCAACCACAGTCATTCTTCAGTAAAATGTTTCAGGCTTGGGGCCCTAAAACCAGCTGGTCCTCTAAGCAACATGTTTTCTGCCCAGGAAGTTAATGCAATTGTGTTTGTGTCCATCACTGCTAACCTTTAGAACACAGAGTTTTTTGCTGATTGAGTTGTGGACTCACATCAGTAATGTGTAGAGGGCAGGGTAGTATTTTACCCCAGTATCAATTCTCCCGTTTTTCAATCATGTCTCTCTCTCTCTCTCAGCATCGTCTTCCAAAGCTTCAGTGGCCTTCAGATTCCACCAGCACCAAAATGTGGTGTTTCAGCCATGGACACCAGCTCATGACGATGCTTGTCCTCTGCAGCGTTACTCAGGAGAACTCTTTGGGCTTGCTCTGTTTTAGTGAGGTTTAAGGTATGGTTGCAACTGGGCTTCTTCCTTTTTTTGTAAAACACAATGCTATGTTATTTTGCTAAACATGTAATCTGCCTAATTACAACTACTGTGACAAGCCCTGCATTCTAACAAGAATAATTCCTACAGAACACCCCGCAGTGATAATGGGAAACACACTGCTATTAGTGACTTATTTTTTTCTTGCCAACTGTGTATTGAATGAAATTCTAAAATGGACCAAAAAAGTCTTGACAGTTACAAAAGGAAAAGAAAGAAATCATTGTTCCTAAAAACCTAACAGTCTGTTACATTAGATTTTTAAGCAACATTTAAGATACAGTTGAAATCAAGAAAAAATATAATTGTTATACTTTGATTTCTCACCTGTACACTGACCGTGGCAGTTAAGATGTGAGGCAGTATTTACTTAGTGGTTTACTTACTGTTAATACTTACAGAGTTACTCACTGCTTGTGTACAAAATGTTTCAACTTGGTTAAAAAAGAAAATAAATGTAATGTATTTTCCATTTTAAATTCACTAATGTATTTGGTTTCTCCAAATTTTGCTGTGCTCTACACCTGGGATCAGATTGCCTTACATTACGTTAATAAAAATAGAGGAAAACCAAAAAATAATCAGAAAGAAAAAGTCTTGACTCGTCCTCAGCTCCTGGCTGCCTGCGTGTGAAGGTTTTGTTTGTCAATACACCTGCTTCAGTGTTCGTGCACCTGAACTGCTTCGTGTAGCACACCGGGAGGACGGCAGCCATGCCTACGGGGTGGCAGGAACTCTCCGCCACAGCCCACGGTGCAGACTGATGTCACTTTGTCCCCAAATTGAGTAACACCAAGTAAGGTATAGAATTCTCTGTAATGCCCGCCTAGGACTGCTGAGCTACGTCAGCTTATGATAAGCTCTTAGCCCAAGAAGAACTTTACAAGATGACCCTGCTCAACAAATAGTATTGAGATGATGACTAGCTTAAGTCTGTTTCTGGTGTACAGATTCCCACAGGGCATTCACATAACGCAATTTTGTGTCAGCTTTTCCACTGGCACTTTCTGCAGGACATGTTTACATCCAGCTCCTGCTAGGAACAAAGTTTCCACCTCTCTAGTGGCATCACTTGGCATTTTTGGATAAGGACAGCATTGGTGGTGTCACAAGTTCCTTGCTTTGCCGTTCCAGGTGTGGTATCTTCTTCTGCTTACCCTCCACCCCCTGCCTACCCCACCAAGAACAATGCATCAATGGGAGGGTGAGGTGTCTTCCAAACCCAGAAGCTCCTTTACAAGTCTTTCACCAAACTGTGCGCGGCTATACCTTGTCACATGGTAGGCCTCTGACATTTTGTAGAGGATGTAGGCATTGTTTATAGCGATGCTGATGGCAAACCAGAATACTTGCTGCCAGGTCTTGTTTGGTTTGTGAGAAATGAAATACCTAAAAAAAACAAGAGAGAAGGGGAGGGAAAAGCACTGTTCAGCTAAATGCTTGCAGCTGAGATGCAAGAAATAACCCCAAAGATTCTGCAGTCCCAAAGAGAAAGCAGGCCCAGGACTTAATACCTAGTGCAAGTATCATCTGAATAAATTTTGTACAAAGTATGTAACAGTCATTTACGTTTAAGTTGCACAATTTTGGAAATTTCTAGCAGCGTCTAAAAGAACCCCACTTCCTTGCTCTCAGAAGCAAAACGTCAGCAACACTCTCACCTCTTCACTGCTCTACATAAGTAAGACACTGATACAGACTCCTTGAGCTCACCTGTGACAAACATCCACGTGATAGGAGCTGTGGGTCTGAATCCCTTCAATTTGTAACTAAAAAAAGCCTCAGGCACATTACGTTACACTTTAGAGAGGATTGCTGATGCTTTTCTCCTCTTATTTATCTCTATTGCCAGCAGAGAATGATTTCTGCTGCTGTCAAGAGTAGGTGGGAGGATGTGGGGGTAGAGCCAGAGCATGCAGTGCTGGTATGTGGAGCACCTCTCCATAAGGCAGAACTAGAAAAGACTGACATCCTTATATTTAGGTTCTGACTAATTCTAGGACTGCCAAAATATTCACTCTTTGGTCATAAGATTTCCCACTTTCCTACTTTCATTTTTTTAGTAACCATTTAAATCTACTACCTCATCTCTTTTTCATATTGATTTCCTCAAATCAGATGCCAGCATCGGTCTCCAGCAAACACCTCTTCCTCTTTTATCTTTTCTACTGAATTCTTGCTGCCTTGGAAAATCCCTGCTGCTTTTTCTCTCTCCTCAAATTTTAATTCTTGAAATGTTCTGTACCTCTTCACTATTCCCCCAGCCAAGCTTCACCCCTGTTATTCTTACTCTTTTCTGTTTCTCCCTGCTACATTAAGAGCTAACACTGAGGACCCCAACTGGAATTCAGGAGCCAAAAGTTCTACATTCTGCTCTCCCAGATCACCTAGATCAGCTTTACATCCACAACTGATTGTATTTATCCTTCTGACTCCAGGTAACACAAGTATTACAAGTATCAAGATTATCATAGATAATCACTTAAACACCATCTGCTGATAGGGGTGGAGAGCTGAGCTAGCCTGAGAGACTTGTGGGGCTGGTAGACCCTTGTTGAGTTTTCTATTTAGCCTTCAATTTGATGTTTGATGCTAAGAACATGTGTCTCAAATTTTTTGTGACTGGCAGTTGGGAAGATAGAGCCAAAACACTAGCCATGCAGCTTTTGCCCTTGCGCAGAGGCAGCTTCTGATCTTTGATTGAAAGAGGAGTTTTGTCAGAGATTAATTCCATGAAAGCAGTATTGGTCCCTCAGCTGCAGCTCAACATGGACAACTCAAACATTGCAGCAACAGAGAAGAAGTGAAAGAAAGACACATGAACACATTCTTACTTACTTGCTGTATTTGTCATCATATTTGCAGATATAGCTAAGGTGAGCAGCAAAGGCTTCAACTGCCAACGGGCATGGAATTTCTCCGCTTTTTCTCTTAATTATAACTCCTGCATCAATTAGAAACATAACAGTTTTAAATCCACATGATAGATCTACCTATTAAAATAACAGTTTCTATATACAGTTTATTATAAAATAAATCTTATTGACATTTTCTGCCCTGAATCTATGAAGTTATATGTAACAGAGATGCTAATTTGATTTTTTTTTTTTAAATTGGTAATATATTGAGCTAGTGGAAGGGGAAGAAGAAGGATCATTTTTCAGTTGGAAATGGAAAGGTTTTGGACACAAACCCTTTTACTATAGGTTTAGATTAGCTATTAGGAAGAATTACTTTACTGAGAGGATGAGTAAAGCAAACATACAGTACAGGAATCTGTTCCCTAACTTTTGACTTTACATCCCCACAGAGTTTGATGATCTCCAGGGTATGGATCACCTCTTGCTCCAAGTCTATGACACACTGTCGAGTGAGGATCTCCACTCTCTCCTCAGCACAATGCTATTTTTCTCCAGGTCTAGAGAAGCACAGGCTTGATTGCATCCTTTTTCAGCGTTATTTCACTACAGGTACAGTTCTGGGTTTTCTCATTTCTCAAGCCTTCAAACTCTCATTGCCTTCCTTCTGCCAACTCTTTTATAATCATCCCTAAAATGCTCCTCACGTTCTGATTACAGACTTCATCATTTCATTCCTTCAGCTGGAAGTCTCATTCCATCCATTATCCCTGTCAAGCCCCCTGTGCTGTCCTAGCTGGCAGGCTCTATTTTGAAGCAAGACTTACGACACATACTAAATGTCATGTTACAGCTGAGCCACGCGGCAATTTATTTGGAGTCTTTAAAGTCTGATTTTTCAAGAGTCCAAAATTATATCACCTCTAAATTGTTCAATACGCTCTCCTTTTACCTTTGCCTCCTCAAGCTAGGTGTAAATGTAGCCCAAGGGGAGGGGGAAAAAAACCCAATCAAATAAATGAACCCTTCATTACAGTCACATACTTATTGTAGCACTTTAAAAATCCTTTTAATGAGTTCTACAAAAATCTGGCCAGCATGAGGTAAAAAGAACTGTTATACCACCAGCCTGCTGCATCAGTGCTGCAAAATCATTTACCATCCCACCTGGGCAGGTCAGGAAAGAGTAAGTATATTCCCGGTGCCAGCTTTTTACAAAAAAATCCCATTTCTCCTCATGCTCTCCTCTCTTCTCTTTCTTCCCCTTCTCTTCCTTTGGAGGATTTAGATTTCCTTTGCAATTTGCTTTGTATTCACAGCCCTCAAAAAATTGCATTGCAGTGGCAACTATGTGGGTACCATATACTCCCTCTCGCTTTCTATTATATTCCACATAACATTCCTCTATTTTGAGAATATAAATAGCTTTATAGGCACATTATTTGTATAGCCTTTCCTAAGCTTGTTTCGTAGCCATAGGCCACCTCTCCAGGGAAGACGACTGCCAGAGCTGGGTCATTCCTAGCTGCAGGTCTCTCTGGCAAGTGGTCCCAAGCCAGCTGACTCACCGGCACAGTCGATGAGTTATTTCCCCTCCTGGTCCTCCCCCAGCATCGCTGTGTTCCCATCCCTGGCAGCACTCCAGGGAACACACCGCCCGCGCTGCAGCCCTGGCCTGCCTTTGCCTGCGTGCTGGAAAAGGTGGCCTCCATGCTGCCATGGGGGACAGGCATCACCTTTTGGGTTTGAGGGGGTTTTTAGACTTTTTTTTTTTTTTTTATAAAAAAGGTTTTTTTAAGCTGTGTGCTCGTCAAGCAAAGCTTGAGAAATACCACCCTGAATGAATCAAGCAGAAAGAAAAAAGCATACATATGTCTGCTTCCTCAAAACACTTATTCTAAGCAAATCCGTGATTTTAGGAGTTAGAATCGTGTTTTTTTTTAATTGGAGGCTCAGTAATACTAGCACTTGCACTCACCTGGGCAAACACTGAGATTGCACAACCTAACAGAGGGGGCACTCCATGTTTGAAATGCTGTGTGGCTTTTTATCAGGGCTCAGATTTGTTACAATTCTTTATCAGAATTGCAGACAGTACAAGGCCTAGTTTTCAAGGTGTTCCCATTAGTCCTCCAGCCCCATCCACACTGTCACTATACTTGGACAGGACTCCCTGAATGTAGTTTTACAAAGGACACATGGAAATAAAGTAAAAACCCTAAGTTTCCCCATCCTGAAACATGCTTTTTAACTAAAAAGTATGCTTCTTTCCACAGACTTTCGAGTTCTGGGCCAATTTCACAAGTGTATTTTTCCAGGAAACTAGATTTCCACCAGACAATCCTCACTCCAGCTTCTCCTGGCCTATGAACTACACAGGGACTTAAACAACCGCTTTCTACAATTGTGATGCCTCCACATCATCTCCCATCTTCTCACAAGTCACTTGTGAAGTGCCAACATACCATTTGCAGCTCTTCAGTCCTTGTATCTGTGGCCCAAGCTTTGTTTTCTATCCTTAGCTATTGCTTATTTAGCTTTCTAATACAGCTGGTTAGTGAAGAGCAGCTGTGAAAGCTCTTCTCAGAAAGAAGCTACTTCTTAAAAAGATCTTGGGTTCAACAAGCTTTTGCTAAAGATGTCATCCTGCTGTGCAGCAAGTGAGGCTGCTGCCTACTCTGTCCTGCTTCATATGAAAAATACAAAAGACTGTAGTTATTTCTAGAACATAGCAATGAAGATGCTGGGAAAGTGGACACCAGATCTATAGTGGAAAAACAAAAATGCAGCTTTGATGACCCCAGAGATGGAGTGGTTTGGGACAGCAGATACATCACATGCTTTAGAATAAGGGTAACCTTTTACTCTCTGGGGGTCCCAATCTCTTTTGGTTTCTCAATTCTTCTGTAATACAGGCACAAAGGAAAATTAAACTCAATTTAAAGCTTAAGGGAAATTAAAAACCCCACTGAATTTTGTTCTAGGAAGAAACTTCATAGTTGATAGCACAATAAGCAGGACATTTTTGCAAGACTACAGGAGTAAGATTCATCCTTTACCATCTGAGATGATGTATTATGACATGTTGGTTCAAAACATCCATAATAAATAACTTGCTGCATCTAAGAATAGTATTCATAGATCAGCTCTGACAAGTGTACTGCCCTCCTGGTGCCTCTGGCTTGGGTGAGACTTACACTCTGAGTACAGGCAAGATTTACCTTCTCAACTTTCCTTTAAATTGCAAATAAGTATTAGCTACATCTACCTCTTTTCTCATCATAAGTTTTGGGTTGACTGTCCCTTGCCTTCTGTTTTTAAGGTTTTTCTCTTCACAGCCTCCTCCATCGCTGTCAACATTTATGCTCAACCAAGAGCAAACGTGCACCATGCACTGTCAGGCAATCCCACTGGTGCCAGTCTCTGCCCAGCTACCCTGCCTGCTTTAGTCCCCTGTGCCCCTACCTCCTCTCCTGTCTAACACGTGTATAGCTGGTGTCACTGGTCTGTGCTGCAGGCTGACCCAAGGAGCATAGACTCTTCCTCTTCCTCTCTACTGACATGCCTTAGAGGAGACTTTGGTGGTCCATCTCCAAGTTGGTTTAAACTAGCTTTCCTGCACTGACTTTAGAGATGCCAAATCAGAAGCAGGCAATCTGGTTTCCTGCCTTCCTGTTGAGTCTCCATCTGTTCCCAGTTCTCCATTAGAGACACTTTTCCCCCTCAGCACCACTCTTTAAAAAGCCAGTCTCTGTTTTCTGCTCTGATTCACCATGAACTATGTCAGCTGTCCCAGACAGCATTTGGTGAGCAATTTGTTGGGCAAGTCTTGCCCATCACACATACAGGTCCTAATCAGTGGACGTTAAACTATCTCACAGATGCAGCCTAAAATCCCATCTATGTCAAAACAGACCCAAGGTCAATCACAAGCACAACAGCTCATATCTCTATGTGCTGTTTGTAAAGGAGGTTGCCAGTGCAGAGTCTGCTTGTGCTCCCTCTTTTAACAGGGCAGTTAATACTGACATTTACAGTTACAGACAATTTTTCTAGTGATTTTTATTAACTATAAACAAATGCTCCCTGATAGCCTATAAAAACCAGGTGACAGGTAGTGGTAACTCTTGTCCAGTTACTGCAACTGAATAATCTAAATCTGGAAAAGGGCACAAGGGAAACAGCACGAATCCTGATGGTGAACACCCCTCGTAGGGAGTAACACTACTCCAGGGACTGGCATCAGCAGGGCCCCCAAAGTGTCATATTTCCTTCATGTACGTATTTTCAGCATTTGTGATCAGACACTGGTTCATCCAAATCACCAAGTCCTCACTCTGCTGGGGTGCCTGGCAGAATTCCTTGGGATCAGCCACTCTTTGCAAAGGTAATGAACCTTCTGCCAAGGCATCAACCAACACACTAAGGCGACTTCTCAGCTTACCAGACAGTAAAGCTGAAGTCCTTAACTTTGCTTCTGTATCCTGTACACACATGTGAGAGTCACTCAGGATTCAGCACACGAGTGTACAAGATGCCTTTGAATTGGTGGCTTTACATTTAAAGTTTGAGGTTAATCTTATTTGTCTGAAGCAGTTCTACATAAATCTGAATAATAAAAATGAAAAGTAACTGAAACAGTAATTTCACTGAAAGATGAATTTCAAAGAGTTAGCTTCTTACAGAAGCTTCTTATAGATATTGCATCTTACAGAAGTTTCCAAACCTTAGAACCATTTGTATACTTTCGAAAAGGACAGTATCAACAAGCTCTTTGCAATTATTCGAACTGTCAAAGTTATATGTTTTGGTTTCTTCTCATCAGCTGCTAAAATCAATTTAATGTACAACAGGAAGCCTTAATCCTATTTACTTCTGGCAAAAAGACATTTGTTTGTGACTAAGTTTTTACTGGATAAGATAAATTAATTGTAGGATCTGCTCAGAGTTCTAAGTACATCATGACATTTATTAATTTTTCTGTAGCAGCAACCCTACGAGATGCTTTGCAAATGGGGCTAGTATAGTGTTATACAACAAACATCTTCCCTTCTCCTACCATCAGCAAAGATATAATCTTTATACCTAAAAGGACACTGCCTCCACCAGCTCAGGCAAAGGACGCTGCATTAGCAGGAGGCTTTTAACCTTTGTATGGGGAAAAAAATAGCTGTAGGAAGACACAAAAGGGAAGTAATCACTACTGTTACTGTTAATCTAGGATATTATGATCAAGCTTTGTGTTCAGGCTTATTATCAATCTCAGTGGCTCATTTTGCCTTGTCACATAAAGCATGTGCACTTTAGAGATGAGCAGTAGGAATATTGCTTACCTTGTTGAACTGGTGAATAGGCATTGGTCAGAAAACGAAAGTGCCCTTTATTGTACCAGCAGATCAAAGACATGTTTCCCTTCATTCTTATTCTGTACTGTCCTCTGGACTGTGGAGTTTCAGGGTTGTTCAGCATGGATGGAGGTAGGCCTGTGCAGTCACTCTTCCTGGTGCTCAGCAACCCGCAGCAGTAAATCTCTGCATGTGAACAAAAACATTCCCTATCAGCAAGACATTGCATGGACCCAGAAAGCAAGAGCCATGGAGCAAGTCTGAATGACCAGATTAGACAAAGAACCTGTCCTACAACATTCTAGTGCAGCAGATATGTTAGCCAACTGGCTGTCTCCTGTAATAACAATAGGATACAAAGATTTGTACCCTTTATCAATGTCTCTGGAAACCAAGAAAAGTGCAGAAGGCTTACTCTCTAGATGAAATGTATTGACATCTCCTGCACAGTCATGATGAAATGACAAGGAGAAGAATTCAGGGTATCTTCCCAACAATAAAATCTGTGCAATAATCTTCACAACATGTTTAAAATTGGACTGAAAAAAATCCCAATGGCGATGTGCATTATGGAACAAATCGGAATTCATGATCCAAGAGAATCTTTGATGTTTAACTAAGAGAATAAATTGTGGAGGGAGCAGAGAGGTAGGGAAACCTATAGCATCTTAGATGTTAACTGAAATAAATTCTCCAACATGACTCGCACGATACTTTTAATCACAGTATACATAGCTGACAAACTCTGGTTTACTGCTTCACTGTGCTGCCTGGTTCTTGATTTTCAGCTCACTGCTCCTTGCACCTACATCACCTGGTGTGTTAAGGAAATACTGCTTAAGCAATTAAGAACCACTGAAACCACTGGCTGATTTAAAAAATGCATGTGTCAGAAGGATGGAGAAGGTGGAAATACAACTTCAATGAAAATGGATTTTAGGGAAAGGAGATAAACCAAACAGTGCCCTAGTTGAGTGAGCACTAACCTTGTCCTGCACAGACATAAGAGGCTCCACAGGCAACACATTCTGCTGTTCACAGCTTCATATGTGTGAATAAAATCTAACACCAAAAAACATGTCTCAATGCAGCCAGGTGGGTACAAACAGGATTTGGAAATAATATTAAAAATTACAATGCTTGATTTTGTCATTTGGCTGTGAAATAATAATTTTGTTAGGCCAAGAGAAGCAGATCTTCTTGATCAAACTAATTAACTCCTGGAAATCTTAGATGGAAACTTCCTTGGTCTCCCTAGGTTTTTGTTAACCCACCTGAATGGAAAAAAAAAAAGATGGGCATTGAAGCAGGTGACATCTGTGCACATCTTTCATATGTCAGCAGAGGCTTTTGATAATTTAAAGCTCATCTGTCAGCTAAGTCTACTTGATCAAATTTTTCATCATGCTGAATTTTGCATGTTGAATAACTGGACAGCCTTACAAGGATATAGTGTCTGGCTTCCCCTGAGCATGTTACCATTTATGTGGCTCTTCTGCCTTTGTCCTTCTGGGATGACTTAAGCTCCCAAATGCAGGTGCAGCCTTTGTTCTTGGTTCATATAGCCCTGGTACACTGAGCATCCCCTCAACAGCTCACAGATACTACAGGAATACTAATATAGTAATTGCTAATACTCATTATTTGGTCCAGTTGCTGCAGGCAGGTCTACAAGGAGCTAAGGCTCTTCCATCAGAAATTTAAGACTCATGCCAGAAGGTGGTCAACCAACACAGCAATGGGCCAACTTCATTTGGAAGGAGAAAATCTGCACTCCATTGTTATTTCTAATGAATGAGTCAGTCCCTGGTAAGTTCTTTCCATAAAAGACAACGAAAAAAGCCTAAAAAGTCTCACAATCTATATAGGAAGAAGTGCACCACCAATGGAAGGCTGTTTTTTTTTTTTTTTTTTTTTAATTTCTTGTCTTGCTAAGAGGTACACAAGCAGTGAAGGTCATGTACCTGCAAACTTTGACATTAACATAGCAAACTTTTAGAAAGCTTTATTCTAGCCAATATTAAGATCTTCCTGCCTTGATAACAAGCCAGCCTGAGAAGCATTTCCTTAGCCACCTAAAATTTATGACTCACTGAATGGAGATGCTTATTCTCTCCAGGAGAAGCAATGGTATAAGAACAAGCTAATAACTACATTATTGTGCTAGAGTTTCAAAATAGCAACAGCCATCTCTGAGATGCCCATAATAATTAATTGTAGCCTTTCTTTTAGCTCAGGCAATAAGCCTGCAGAAAGCTTCCAGCAGATGTTCCACTCTTCACACAGAATAATGGGAGCCATTTCCTCTCTTAGGAACACGCTGTGGAATTTTCCTGCTGTATAGTCTATAAAAGTGCAGTACTTCTGCAGATTTATTAGCGTCTCTCATCATGGATAACACCCTTAGTCTGTTGAGTTTTTAAAAATCACCCAGTTACTATAGCAATAGAAGAAATAAAAATTATGCCCATCTGGCTCAATGAAGTTTTTGTGCGTAATTAAATCAGAATCACAACAGGTGTTTGCCACATACACAGGAGTCAGTGGAGACAGGTTTTCCTCCTCTGGTCTTCTTAAACTGTAACTGCAATGTAAATGCATACACCTAAGCTAGCTTAGCAAAGATGGGGAAATGGGGTGTAGTCACCCAAGATTCATTCACAGGGTCTCCAGGCCTCAGCTTGTGCTGAAGCTTTTTTTACCACATCTTCATTAGTACTATTTGCAAAGGCAGCCAGGCTTGAGTTAGTTCAGGCAAAAATGCACATTCTGCACTCATTTATCCTGCATGCAATGGGCTGAGTCAGAGGTAGGGCAACTAGCGGGCCTGCTGTGGGAAGGAGATGAGACCTTGCTTTAGTCCATGTGCTGGAGTTGCAGGATCCTGCAGAGCTTGTGGGGGCGTCATGGTCACCCAGGCTGGCAACTCCTGCAGCTTTGCCAACCCCAGGCACTCTGCTGAACAGAGCCAGCTGCTCCTGCTGGTTCAGAAGGTGCAAAAGGGACTTTTGGGGAACATATGTTTAAGGAAAGCCCAGGACACAGGGCTTTAGGAGGTGTTGTCCTCTTTAATGGACAGCAGTAATGTTTAAAGGGGGGGAAAAGAAACATGCACTATGAATGAATGTCACAGCAAATAACAGTGACAGCTGTCTGCTCACAGAACAGAGAATCTGGGTCATTTCAGTGCAGGTTTGCACTTCTGTTCAGAGGCCAGAAAAAGAAATGCTTTGCGTGTTCCCTGAAAAACAAAAAAGAAGTCTATTCAGGTTTCTGATTTTGAAAAAAAATCAAAGTGCTTTGTCTTATTTTCTGAAGCTTTCTCAGCTCTTGATACCTTCATACACCTCAGAATTATGTTCCCTTGACATCCCTTTATATTACTGGGCACATATTCTCTACTGCGGTACAGTGAAGGTCCTATGTAGCAGGCTTTCAATAAAGAACGCTGGTTTTTGCAGTAATACATCTGTAGGTTAAGGTTAGGAAAAGCAAACAATAGTTTAGTTCCACAAAATTCTTCATAGGATCACAGGATCCTATGGATTAAAGGATAATTCAGGTTGGAAGGCAACTCAGGAGGTCTCTAGTCCCATCCCCTGCTTAGAGTAGGGTCAGCTCTGAGGTCAGACAGTGCTGCTCAGGGCGTTATCTTGTCTGGGCTTGAAAACCTCTGAGGACAGAGACTGCACAACCTCTCTGGGCATCCTGCTCCACTGTCCTCAGGAAAAACCTTACATCTAGTCTGAACTTCTTCTTTTGTTTCAGCTTATGTCTGTTGTTTTTCATCATTCCACGATGCACCACAGTGAAAAGCCAGCTCCATTCTCTCAATAACCTCCTCGGGGAGTGTAAGGCTGCTATTTAGCCCCCACACCACCCCAAAGCTTTCTCAGGCTGAACAAGTGCAGTTCACTTCCCATAGTGAACATGTGGTCCAGCCCCTGGTCAGGTTGGTGACCCTCTGTTGAACTTATTCCAGTTTATCAGTACCTTTCCTGTACTGGGAGGGTGTTGTCCAAAAACGTGCTATATAGGAGGCAATACACATGGGGAGTAGGAGACAGTAATTGCCTCCCTCAGTCTACTGCAGTCCTGTTAACACAGCCCAGGATAGTGTGGACCATCTTTGCTGCCAAGAGATGCTGCTGACTCACGTTCAACTTGCTGGCTACAAAGTCCCCCAGGTCCTTTTCATCAAGTGTTTTGAGAAGAACAAATACATTTTTGGTGGTTGCCTGATTCTAGATTTTCCAGAATTTCCTTTAGTTCCTTTAAATGTTAGTTTAGGTTCCCAAAATGTTTATCGTTTCTAAGCATTTAAATCTCCCCCTATTTTCTGTTGATAGTTACAAAAAACCCCAAACAACATAAAGCAGTTAAGATCAATACCAATTTCTTTTTGCTTTCAGTTCTCAATGGGATCTTTCTCTTTCCACTACTGATCCTGCTCTAGCCCAGAAACAAAATTTTCTTGAGTAAGAAAAGTAAATTTGTCAGTTTAAGAATAGAGCTTGAACTGTCCTGAGCACCTAAGCATGGATGCTCTTCAACAGGCTTTTGTCATACTTCTTGGTCATGGTGTGGCTCTGTTGAGATTTAGTTGGCTGTACACCAAAAAAGCATTAAGGTCATTGCTGAGGACAACTGTGTGAGAGAGAGATCTCTCTGCTGAGTCCAGGCGTCTCTGCCTGCCTCTCCCCAAATGTCCTGCCAATGCAGTAGGATCCCAGCAGGTGCTGGCAATATATTAGCTGCTTTGCAGCAGTCAGTAAACACCATCTCCTCCCAGGGCTCTCACTGACTTCAGCACTGCTTGACATCTCTAGCATCTTACCTCTCCCAGTGTCTCATAGTCATTCCAGTTCAACATTCCCTCACCAAACCTGTGAGCTAGCCCCTCAGTTCCATTTAGTTCTGGAAGCAGCTGTCAATTATCATAAAAAGTCTCATGAAGCCATATAACAAATCATGAACCAAACTGGAATCTCAGTATAACATTAGCATATTTGATCAGATAGTAAGTCAAAATTGTATGCTTTAAAAAGACATTACTGAATTTGCTACCTGCTGGAAACTGTTAATTTGAACGATCTGTTCAGGGTAAAGACCATGAATAATTCACCCCTGTGAACAATTTGAATTATCTGTAAGTAATAAACACTCAGCTGGTTTAGTAGCCACACATCTTTTTCACTAGGGTTATGGACCAAGTGCGTCATGACATACTGTTTTTATCGTTCCCCAGCTGAGCATAAAGGTTGCAACTCAGCAGTCAAATTTTTGTCTATCAGTCTTTATATTTAAACCTGACATCACAGGTACTATGAGTATGTGGGGTATCCTCTAAATTTTTTGGACCCTCATTTTGCATCATTGCTTTGGTAGCCTTAAAATTGTAATGCTTATAATCAGCTGTGAACAGAGTCATTTACTAAAGAACAGTCTCCGCTCAGAGAAAAAACTCCAGTGCACTATAAATATGCTTGACTTCCTTCCCATTTGGCTGTTTGAAGCATTTGGGAAACCATGACTCTTTTGTGAGAATATAGCAGTATTCCACTGTACTCTGTGAGCTTACCTAAAATAATGTAGGAGTTAAGTCCTGCACTGACCTCAACAGAGACAGCCCTCAGTGCCAGCAGTCTTAAGTGCTCAGCTACAGCACTGGTGCAGCTCACTGGTGTTCTCATTTCAAATTAGAATCAAGATACGGCCTACAGGAGAGATGGGGAAGGGCTCTTTATCAGAGAATGTAGTGATAGGATGAGGGGTAATGGTTGTAAACTGAAAGAGGGGAGATTTAGATTAGATACTAGAAAGAAATTCTTTAGTGTGAGGGTGGTGAGGCACTGGAACACGTTGCCCAGAGAAGTTGTGGATGCCCCATCCCTGGAAGTGTTCAAAACCAGGCTGGATGGGGCTTTGAGCAACCTGCTCTGGTGGGAGGTGTCCCTGCCCATGGCAGGGGGGTTGGAACTCGATGATCTTTAAGGTCCCTTCCATCTCTAACCATTCTATGATACTGTCTCAATTCCCAGTTTTTTCCCCTGCTTTGGGCCAAATTTCATTAATATAATGCTCTAAGTGGATATAATATTCTGCAATGCCAAAAAACATGCCAAAAGCAAAACTCGGTTGTCAGTGGTGTGTTGGAAAGGGAAATGGCCCTGCAGCCTCCTCATATGTGACGCATAATGGCAGAGTCCAGTCTTACTGCTACGAAGGATCAATTCTATGCACCACACTGACTCTGAAAGGCTGTGCTGACTGAAAAACGAGCCAAGAGTTACATTGAGATGACTGTCAGTGGTGCAGGAGCCTGTAATTTAAGGGAAGTCATAGAACTGTTTGGGTTGGAAGGGACCTTAAAGATCATCAAGTTCCAACCCCCCCACCATGAGTCACAAGTCCTCAGTATTTCTGAAAGCAAAGTAACACGTGGCTCTTTTACACCCCAAGATGAAGGGGCATTTGACAGAGAGAATGTCCTGAGACTACTCTTTGGACTAAAAAGAAACTGGCTGGGAGAGCCATATTGATGGACACTCTGCTAGTAAGCGTGCTTTTGCTAACGTAGAGTTTATTATGCTTTCTAAACTAAAAACTGTGCTACCGACGCATGTTGATACCAGCAAAAAAGGCAAACTTTACTAGGGCTTTTGCAATGGAATAAAATGTCATCTAGAGAAGTCACATCTTTAACAGATATTAAACCAGCAATGATTTCTAAGGCACAGCTTTAAGGATTCATCCCATAACCTAGTCTTTCACAATGGGAAGAGAAAAACAGCAGGCAGCTAGGAATCCCCTGAAAAGTCCCCCAGGCCATATAGGAGATTAGACCTCACATTTCCAAAGCAAAGAACAAAAGCAAGGGCTTTAAATAACCTTATTTAGAATGTTTTTACATCCTCATTTTGAACTTCAAGAAGATTGAAAGAGGAAGATTTAAAGAGTAATTTCGAAAGTCCTCTGCATAGAACCTTTCCATGAATGAGAACTTTTCTTAGAGATGACCAACTTATCTATACAAGGATTGAAATATCAGTGAAGCCTTTTGGGAGTTTTTTTTAATTCAGTGGCAGGAGACACTGAGGTCTGTCATTAATAAAACCCAGTGAGTCACCCGATACACACCTTGCTTCTCAAATTCTTCAAAGAGATTCAGGCTGGTAATGCTTGGGCCAGTGAAGATGATGTAGTTCTTCCCAGAGGCGTTCTGACAAAGGCTTTTGGCCACCATACTGTGAAGCTGCGGTTTGTTCTTCAAAGCATCCAGCCCGTCAGCACCACTCCCTTCTTTGAGATGGACATAAATCTGAAATGAGAAATGGTAAGAAAAATCAGAAGGTTATAAGGAATCCAGAGGAAGCAGATGCAAATGCTAACGTACCTGCTCAGCTCAACTGGAGACAAGCTGAGAATCAAGGCCGCAAATACTTTTTATAAACTGCTAATTAATCTAAAGTCGCTTTCAAGGGGCTGTTGCTTTAAAAACCCCTCAGGTTAGCTGTCACAGCTACCTATAAATGCAGCGTCCTTTGCCTCAACTTAAGGTCTTCCTGAGGTTCTTGTCACTGTTGTGCAGTTTGAAGATTGTTTGCTTGGCAGGAAAAGACTCCAGTCATAACTGAGATTACGTGTTGTACTGAATCTGCATAGGCTTCAACGCTGCCAGCAAAAGGAGAGCATGGGAACTTTGGTTTCAAAAAAGGCCCTTCCAGGATGGCCAGAAGGAAATGTCCCATTAGCTTCGCTGCAGTAATGTTCAGATTTATTTCTGCTGGCAGCAACCATTAGGCTGTGACGCAACTGAGTGTGCACACCCCTAAATGAGAGGAGCCAGCAACACACATACCCAACCAGCCAGAACACCCTCACCAAACTCTCCAGGCACAGCGCTAATTCTTACATCCTTTACTTCCATCATGATTTGGAGACAACCCACCAAAACAGATTGAACCAGGAAGCAGGGTACGGAGTGATATGCTGCTGCTAATAAAAATGCCTGGCTCATTTGTAGCAGGCTGCAGTAGCTTTAGCATGTAGCCTGTGCAGTCCACAATGCTATGGATTTCAAGAGAGCTGTCACCATCATCTGTAGGTGAACAAACATGTTTGTGTTAGAGTGCAGGAACATTTATCCCTTTGTAATATGACTACAATTAAGCAAACGCAGTCCAGCTAGTATACCCAGCAACTGAAAGAGCACTGAAGTAAAGCTATTCCTTCATTCTTGCAAGTGGTCCCTCTAGAAGAGGAGTCTTCTGCATTGTCATGCAGAAGGAGAAAGCACATAACCCCTTCCTTTGTACACAGGCCTTCAATTTTATTTCACTGATAGCATTTTACAAGCATAACATTCACCAAAGTTGAACATCTATTAAAATAACTAGGCAGCTGACCTTCATCTTGTTCTAAAAGTCAGCAGAAATAACCTGCTGGAAAGAGAAATGAGAAGAAGCAGACACTGTGCTCAGTCACTCAAACAGTACTGCAACACCATGGAACTTGCAAAGATTTAAAAACGCACAAAAGTGCAAATTTTCTGAAAAATTTCATTTTTTCTGGAAGGCCTGCCTTTGAGACTTTGGCTCTGAAATACTTTGATCTTTTAGGAATTCCAGAAAATTTTACCCATCACAGACAAAGTTGAAACCTGCTCAGTATTCAGGGGCAGGGAAAAGGAATTTTGCCTTGTTTCTTGGAGTGATGCAGCCACAACAAGCTTTCGTTAAACTTGCTTGAGACTTCAGCCACCCAGATCATGAAGCATAGCATCTGGTTCTCTTAACAACATACTCCTTCATAAAGGAAAGTTCATTACACTGCTCAGAGAACAAAAATGGTCACGTTTGCAGTAGTGCTCCCAGTAATTTATATCTCAATGATCTTAGAGGGGAACAAAATTCAATTAAACAGCTTCTCCCTATTTTAGATGGTGTATCTCCCAGCACTGGTATTCTAGACATATTAATGTAATATTCCCCAGCAATTCATGTATCATGGAACAGACCCCAGAGGAGCATGTTATTTATGAAATCTCTGAGAAATGAGACATATTTTGTATATTAAAGTAATTGAAGTGCTAAAGAACCAAGTTGGTGCAAGGATGAATACATGGTAATTCCAAAAGAAAATTATCACAGAATTGTTGGAGTTGGAAGGGACCATCTACAGATCATCTAGTCCAACTCCCCTGCCAAAGCAGGATTTGCCTATAGGACATTACTCAGGACTGCATCCAGGTGGGTCTTGAAAATCTCCAGGGAAGGGAACTCCACAACCTCCCTGGGCAGCCTGTTCCAGGGCTCTGTCATCCTCACCTAATGAAGTTCTTCCTCATATTTGAGTGGAACTTCCTATGTTTCAGCTTGTGCCCATTGCCCCTCATCCTCTCACTGGGAGCCACTGAAAACTGTTGGGCTCCATCCTCCCCCAGACTGCCCTTTAGATACTTACAAGCATTAATAAGGTCTCCCCTCAGCCTTCTCTTCTCCAGGCTGAAGGTCCCAGCTCTCTCAGCCTTTCAATAAGGCTGAAATAATATTTCATTATATTCCTTAATAATCTATATTAAAACAAAGTCTTAAATATACATTATTTACCTTAAAAAAAAATAATAAATCCCTTCTCTGATAGAAACACTTTCCAGATGAGGACAAAAGCAGGAATGTGTGCAGACTCCCTGACTGTGCTCCACTCATTTTTGAAAGCTGTCAAATTTGTGCCTTCCCCAACGCTAAGGCTGAGGACTAGCTAATTACAGTAAGTAATTTAGGTTATTAATCAGGGCTCAAGAGAACAGTTTAACAGTGGAATGCATATAAAGGGCAGATTGTTCCAAATTTACAGCAAAGGTATTTCATGATTATTGGCATCAAAATTAAGATTAGGTTACTAGTATGTCAGCACAGAGACCACACATCAAGCCATTTTAAGGCAGTGGAGACAAAAGATGCAGACAGATTAGTTTTGACTTTGGATTAGCAGTTGAGCTGAAAACAAAACAGGAATCTCTAAGTCCAGGAAAGTGTCTTACACCTTCCCTCCCCTACCGCAGTAAGTCTTTGCCAACCAAGAGCCTCTCCTGCTCCGTGCTCCCTTTGTGTTCCCCTCTGTGTACCCCCTAAGGGATGAGACAGTCTGCTGGTAACCCAATTGGTCCCTCAACGTGACCTGGTTTGGGTCTTCAAGCAGCTAGTTCAAAGCGCACGCCCACCATGCAACTGTCTACTGAGATATCACTGTTTTCCTACTAGGATACTACATGCTCCATAGGTTCTGTCAGCAGAGTTCCCCTGTGCACCTGGCACCTTCCTCCTGAGCTCGGCCCTATTTCGAGGGTCCTTGTAATGGCCACCTTGTGATTTTCATTCCCCCTGCTCTGTTCACCTTCCCAGTGCCCTTTACAAAACATCTATATCCACTACTGAACCTTCCCTCCTCCTCCAATGTTAAATATATCCCCCTTTTTTCTCCTTGGGCATTTTCCTGCCTGTCCAAGCACAGCCTTTGTTCTTGGCACAATTTTTCCTGTTTTGGAGAAGCATCATTCAAAGCTTTATCATGCTGAGCTCTACTGGGAAGATGGGTGACGGCAGCATAATGTTGGAAGGCATTAAGGCTGCTGTGAAACAGCAGCTTGGTGCAGACAATTGGCAAAGGCATAGCTTTAAATATCCTTGCGAGTGCCTAGGATCTCATATGGCCTTTATTTCCCCTCTCCCTGTGCTCTCATCCAGCTTATTTTATTCTACCTCAAATGATTAAGATCCTACCTACTGAAGGCCACAGCATTCCCTCCTGTTCTATAATGCCTTAGAAGTGGTATTTAACAGTTAGCAGCCTGCAGAAAAAGCAGAGTTGCCAGAAATTGGCTGCAAGGTCTTCACAGGCACAGTCAGAAGCTGCTCCCCAAAAATATTTGTTCAACTGTTCACCAGAGCTTCTGGTTTGCCCTGTGACAGCATCAGAGCTTTGTGTTCTTTCCATGTGCTCCAACAGCAAAATGTCATCAGAAGTATAAGCTCAGCAACTGCTGCTGGACAACAGATGGAGATGTTGGCAGCAACATCCCCTGCTTCTGCGGGTGACAGTCAAAGTCGTGCTTCTCGAATATCTGCAGAGATCATTTCCACTGTGTATCCTTTTCTAGTGGCTACTGATCCATTTGATCTACAGCACCAAATGGCATAACTTCTAGAGATGTAACATCATTTGGTCTTAGGAGCCAACTACATGCTGAAGGTCTTTATTCTATAATGCTGAGACGAAGAAGGAGCTTACTCTAGTCATCCCTCAATTCTTCTTTTATCAGAACAGCTATACATTCAGCTCTACCATCTTTCTATCATTTAGTGCAGCCCTACTGCACCAGATACTTTTAATCCAACATGTTTTAATCCCCTGCACACAATATCAGCTCGCTCTCTGTTAAACTCACACTGTTTAACTCATCCCTCAAACCCTTCTCTCTTCTGCCTTCAGTTTCCATGCAGCACTCTAATAGCCTCTTCCCCTTAAATGCCTGACTAAGAAAAGACCTTCACAGTCTCTGGCTTGTCTTTCCTTCCACCTACAACTGCTCCTGCCTCCTTCCATCACAAACACAAAAGTAAATATCAATCAATATACCTGAATGCCAGAGCGACAGGGTATGGTTGAAGGCTGTGCTGAGCTCTTCCAAATCAAGAAAAATAGCACAAACTGTTCTGGGAAGACCATTTGCCTACACAGAGGCAATCAGAAATGACATCGCATTTCTGAGCAGGAGAGATGAGAGACAGGTCAATCACCTGTCATTCAGAAACTCAAACCAAGTATGTTAGGCTACTGAGGCAGACTGCTAGAGAGAGTGCTTCCAGAGGAAAGAAGATCTCAGAGTAGACATCTGTGGTACAAGCCAACAGGAATTTCTCTGCTCACTGCTTCTAATTTATGGAAAATTCATGTGGAAAGTTCATAAGGTCTTGCTAGAAACAGAGTAAAAAATCGAGCACTTAGGAACAAAAGCTGCACGTTTAAGAAGTGCCCTAGAAACTAAAATATTGGTGATTCTGCTAATATTCAAAGCTCAGATGGCAAATTGAAAGCACTTGTGAATAGCTCACCCCAAATACTCCACATTCATACATAATTGAAACACCCCAGGGTACAATTCTCAAATGAAATAGATGACATTTGGAAGAAAAAAGAAAGGGCGGGGGTAGTAATAAACAGAAGGAAGATTTTGAAGGCTACATTGTGAAAAATATCTCACAAAGGGCAGACCCTAAACAACCACAAAACAGAAGCCAAGTTTTCAGATGACACAAT